GACTTAAAAAAGAATTGTCCAATACAAACAGGCATCTGCAGGTTTATATTTTACAATGATACTTTTTTTTTCCATCCATAGCCTTTTACTTGTGCCTTAGAGGATCTAGAGTCAAAGCCAGATGGTTCCTAGGAGCAGGCAAATAAAGCTACCTGGCCTACACAATTCCTGTATGCAAGATACCAAGTGAAATGAATGGAAAATACTAAAAGATGAGACAATTAATATTTAGTTCTCCAAATTAAATCCATTAGAAAAAATTAGTATTTGTCTTTGCAATCATTATGGCAATACCTGAGCAGTTCTGGAATGCTGTGCTTGTAGATAGTAGCTATGGCCACAGCATGAACACTGCTGTTGGAACTGGGGGACACTGACTGCTTTATGTTTCTATAGCTACGTCACACACAGGAGGTAGATACAGACACACACACACACATATATTTGCTGTACTGCTATAACAGTTGGTATATTGCTTCATTAGAAATTTCTGGGCCTCTCTGGAATGACCAACGGGTGTCAATATTTATACAAAGAACTGGAGAGCTTCCACAAAATCAAAATTGTACAGAAAGAAGTACTGGCATTGCCCTGATATGTTTGAAGAGTAATGTAGCTGTTCTGATTTGATACAACTAAAAAAACACAAACCATGGAGAAGTTTTACCCTGCTTCTTCTTACTGCTCCTCTGCAGTGGCTCTTTGCAACTACTGTACTTCTCTGTTTTTCTGTCATCATCATTCAGTAGAGGGTAAAGGGTTTGTTTCTCCTCTCTGGTTTGGTCATCAGGGCCCACTCAGAAAAAGGGGAAATAATGGTTTAAGAGAGATATTTTAAAGGTCTCTTTGTGTATGTGATTTATTTTCTATTTTGCTGACTGCTATTTCTGAAGCTCCTTTGTTAGTCTGTGTTTTAACAGTGACTTCTACTACTCTGTCTTCAGAATATTGTGATATCTTCCTACTTTCTTCTCTTCTGGCTGGAAGGAAATTTCATTAGTACAAACAGTAATAAAAAGGCTCTGGTTTGCGAGAGTCAAGAGTGTTTGTAAGTGTGGGGATTCTTATTTTTTAAATGTACTTACAGACCTCAGACCGTCCAACATGGCTTAATTAATATTGCTTCTGAGGTCATCATTTTTCTGTCACTTTTTTTCAGATTCTAGCTATGTATTAATATTCTGTTAATGCATAACCCATACTAAGAAGTGATTCTATTGGCAAGAAATATCACATCTAATCAAAATCTATGTGATTTGGGAAACTTGGTAGGAATGAGGAAATATGTATGGGTCTAACTCTTAAGCAAAATACAAGGATATGAAGAATTGCTTTATTAAAACGATAAAAAAAAAGCCCAAAGAAAATCCTCTATGTTTGAAATATTCATTTGTATTAAATTTCTAGTCATACCATATGGATTAATGTGAACAAGGGATTTTATTTAATATTTTATTTGGCTGGATTGAGTGCAAGGGTTCCAGTATTCTGGAGATGATCACTCTAAATGACTGGGTGACCCATTGAAGCATTCTGCTGAGGTATGTCTTTGTCCTGCCAGCTGGAGGATTTTGCCAGGGTTAAGTGCCAAAATAGATCTCAATACAAAAGTTTTAACTAATTCAAGGAAATCGTTACATAACCTCACTGCCAAGAATAGTGTTCACGTATACTGTTACGGAGAGATGTGATGAGGTTGAATATATTCCTATTTGCAAAGTACTTTGATAAGAAGCTGCTACAGTGTGCAGTATATTATCATGCTAAATATATACTTCAGTCTTTGAACAGGAATTGGGCAGATAGAAAGTAAACTAAACAGAATTTTGAATTAATATACGCTGAAATAGGTTGTCTAAATTCTATGAAAAAAAGCAAATGCTGAAGATAATAATTTGCCATGTGCAAATATACAGTTATGTGCATATTATTATAATCTGCTAAAATTTCCTCTTTTGAGTCTTTAAGACAAGGACAATAGATCCAGCCTTATGAGTTTTACATCAGCATCTCAGACAGCAAACATTTTGCATTGCAACAAAAATCCCAGAATTATTTCATGATATGATTTTGTTCCAGCATCCATCTAATCACTAAAAATGTATTATTTTTCACTCAGATCTTAGGCCTAAGTAAGAATAGTGAGGAATCATATTAAAGTAAGGCTCAGAATTAATGATACAAGATATTTCTGCTTATATCTGAAGTCTGGTTGACACTGGGTCTCCAGCATTTGAAGTCAAGACCAAGTGCCCCACTGACCTCAGAAGCACAAACCTAGTCTTTTGACTAGAACTTTATATTATTATTTTATATTATTATTTTAATTTAGGAAGATTTTATATAACCATGTAACAAAAACATCATGGTAAACAAGTTTTTAACCTTTTAAAATATAATTTCCCTCAAGATAATAACATGAAAATGCTTTCTATCATTTCCCCAGATTCAGTTAGACCATATATGCCTTTAGGAAAAACTGGGGAGGAGTACACATTTATTCTCTCACATTACTCTTCTTAAGAAAAATAATTATTCGTTGTATAATGTAGCCATCATTTAGAGCACACATAAATCTTCATACTGTTACTCCATTCATATGTTGTTTTTTTTTTTTCCTAACTGCCATGCCAAATTAATCCCTGGTGCAATATTGTGTCACCAGTGAAGCTGTGCCACTTGCCTGAACTCTAGTTTTAATTGAAAGATTTATCATTACAGAGTTTCTTTGTCTTCTGTACTTAGTACATGGATCCTTGGAAACCCAGACTGCTTTGCCATTACTGTCTCTTTTCTTTATATAGTGTATCTTTTTTTTTTCTTGTTTTTTTTTAAATCATGGTTTCTCTTAATGGAATGTGTGGAAAGTTTTCTCATACAAGCAAAATAAAAAGCCCCACTGCGATTTGCTCTTGACTCATTTTGGTACGGCTATGCAACTTTATTTAGCTTGTTATGTTTATTGAATTTTATTAAATAATTTGTTATTGATAATGTGGAATTGGGCAAGTTGTATTATATTTCAATGCAATAGCTTGTTCTTCCTCACATATTTAATTGCTAAAACAAGAATGCTAAGGGGTTTGGAGAATTGATTAACAGATTTGGAGTTTTTAATTGCAAAGATCCAGGACTGATGAATATTTTAAATACTTCTGTGATACCGTACACAGAATATCCACAAGAGGGAACTGTTTTACATAAAGAGGAGTCATTTCCTTGCTGCTAAAACATTGCTTTCTGGAACCAAATCCTCCAGAATTACATTGAGTAGGCATGACTGTATCCTGGACTATGCTACGTGGTAAGAACAGGAACAACACAGGTCAGCACAGCATTTGTTATGTTCTGTAAATAGTATTGTTAACCAAGTAAATTTTGAGCTCGTGTTTAAATATTAAATGGACAACTAATCTGAAAACTAATCCACTAAAGTTTTCTGTTTGTTTGGAATAGATCTCTCCAGGATGCAGAGCTTGAAAATCTTGTTTAGTCTTAAGGCAACGTGAAATGGAGCTGTTGCCTCAGTAAATGAAGCATACAGCCCCAGGAAGCTTTCTCAAACTCTGCTTTATAGAGCCTACACTGGAAAGCTGGCCTTTCTTTATTCATAAAGGAGAAAGCTCAAATGGGACTTAATGGAAGGGATATTCATTTAAGGATCATTTTTACCTCTGTCTATGAATAGGTGAACAAAATACGAAGTTACCTACTTTGCTTTGTCTTTTGCAGATATTTCCTAGTAAGGAAACTTTCAACTGGTAAGGTAAGTCTTACCAATTGATATCTATATTTACTTTTCAGTGTGAGTTTCATGGTAAATATTTGTAGAACTGAGCCATATTTATGTAAATAAGTTTTGTTTATAGGGATAAAACAAAGGTTTTCCCCTGGATATATAGTGTGGAATTTATATACTAGGACTCCTACTGTATGTGTTGGTTGGTTTATGAACAGTTTTGAGCATCAAAACTTAAAAGCAGCTTTTTACAAGTGATCACAATAAATCTGCTATCCCTGTCCAAATCTGCATGTACACTCTGTGTGAACATGTTGGAATCAAATTACTTGAACATACAGACTACATTTTGTGCACTTACTTTGCTTTAGTCAGAGTTTTTCTTTAGGACCATCTTTGGTATGTGTGGGTACAGTATTATGGGGATGGTATTTCAGAAGTGCCTAACAATCCTGTTTGCTTCTGGAGTGCTTGTGAAAACAGTGTCTGCACTGCTCAGCTGCAGCAGTATTGAGTCCAATACTTTTTAACTCATACCTTCTGAATCTATAAAGCAAGAAAATGTATTTTCAGACTGCAGCCTCTCTGTCAAGTCTTCTGAGCCCTCTCAAACAAGAGAGAATGTATGTCACAGCTATGATTCAGAGACTCACTTCTTGTTATCTGCCAGACCAGAATATGGAAGAAATTCCATCATGCAAAAACCTTCCCTGGGATATGCTGGGCAGCTGCTCTTCATTGTCCTCATCTTGCAAGGTGCACAGGGCTTGTAGTTTCTGTTAGCTGTGAGAGTGCCTGTAAGTACCTGGCACTTCTGAAGATCAGACTTCAAGTGTCTGTGGTACGATGCTCCTGCCCTTGTTCCACTCCAGGTGTTTGCTGATGGATAAAAGGATCCCTAGGTGTGTGTGCAGCTGGGAAAAGGATGTTCCTCACAGGACTGCAGAGCAAATGACCGTGAGAACCAGGTTCTGATTGTGTGATCCTGTCATGGAAACACTTTGCAGCCCAAGAGGGTCTCTAGTTGTGGGGAGGGCTGGTAATGAAAAGACATGGGAGGGGGCAGCAGCTGTGGCAGTGCTGGCAGTCTGGGCTTGCATGTGGCAGTTGTGACATGCAGTTTCTTTTCAATCTGACTAGTTTTCTGCATCTAGAAATTCTCAACTAAATTCCACTACAACCACCACCTGGGAACGGCCTGCTTCAGGTCTGCTATGTAACTGTTTTTCTCTGGGAAAAAATAATGTAGCATTTTTCTTACCTGTATGCACTTCCATATCATTATTTAATGCCTTCTCTATTCAGAGGCCCCTATTAAACCCTTCTTGAAAAAGGAAGCCTTCTCTTGAAGGAACAGACTGGAGAAGCAGACTTGAAAGAGACGTCATGATGAACTCACTGAGTCAGACAGACAGTGGTGTTACTGAACAAAAAAAGTGGGGGTGAGAGGGTTAGAGAGCCCCGTAAAAAGCTTTGGGAAGTCATAAAATCTCATTACCTTCACTTAACTAGAAAACAAAAACAAACAAGCCCCTGGCAGATGCAGAAACAGAAACTACTGCTACTAAAGGTTAAGAGATTACTATTTCATAATGGTGGTTCTCTGCTGGTATAGCAACTAGATAAGATGGGGGAATGTCACGCACACAAAGGCTGCTGTATTTTACCCTTGGAAAGATGTCAAGAGGATCTGCATAATACTTTGTACAGACACCCCAGTGAGCAGACCATGTGCCAAATGGAGATTTTGATTTATGTATAAATGAATACACATATAAACATATAAATTACTCTGCTTTTCAACGTGAATACGAAAAAAAAGTAGGAGATGACTGTCCAGATTTTCTTGCTGGCTTCCCCTTTCACCCCATGCTCCCCAAAGGTGTCGTTTTAAATTGTTATTTATATTCCTAAGGGTTGAATTCAGGAATGTTCTTGGGATGTGCGACAATTTACGGTGCGCTTGCGGAGCGTTTGCAGTACTCGCCCGTGTCAATTAAAGACAAGCCACGAACGCCTTCAGCGGAAAAACCCACGCCGCGGTCCCCGATGTTTATTTCACGCTCCCTTAGCGCGTTTCCATGCCAGCTTCCCCCTCCCGCGCCGTGCGCATCCCCGGGCACCTGCTGCTGCAGCTCAAACGCCTCCTGCGAGCCCCGAGCGCGCCCCGTTCCCTCCCTGCCCCGCTGCCCCCGGCTGCAGCCCGGCCCGCCGGCCCCGAGGCGCCCTCGCGGCCGAGGGTCGCGCTCGGCGAGGGATGCGGGCGATGGGCGCGGGGGCCCGGCGGGGCTGCGGGGGCCGTGACTGCGCCGTGCGTTGGCCGCTGCGTCATGACATCCTTCGAACCGGCCCCGCGCACGGCCGGCGCGGGGGGGCCGCTGCCGCCTGCCCCCGCCCCACCGCGGCTGCGGAGAGCGCGGCGCGGCGGCGATGGACGCGCCAGGGCCGGCGGGACTTGTTGGACCGGCAGCTCCCCGGCGCGGCCGGGCACCGCCTCGCCGCCACCTGTGAAGCGCCCGCCCCGGCACGCAGCCCCCGCTCCCGCCTCGCCGTCCTCCGGAGCGGGCGCTCGGCGCTTCGGCGGCGCCGCGAGCTGGACCGAGCGGCCGCGGGGCGGGGAGCGCTGCCCATGGGGCGCCGGGAGCCCGCCTGAGCCGGCGCCCCCACCCCGGCCCGCCCGGCACCCCCGGCCCGCGGGGCCTTTGATGCGCCCCCGGGGCGGCTGCGGGGCCGTCGCGTCCCCCGGCGGCACAGAGGGAGGGGCGGGAGCCGGCGGCGCCGCTGCGCGTGTGGGAGCAACAGCCTGAGCGACAGCCGGGCCCTGGAGGGAGCTCCCGAAGGATGGGCGAGGAGGCGGCGGCAGCGGCAGCGCACGCACAGATGGGCCAGCGGAGGATGAATTAGGAGCCACAGGAGGCTGCTGCTGGCACCGAGGGGGGAAGAAGAGAGGAAGGGGCTGGACTTGGAAGAGGAGGAGGAGGAGGGTGCGCGGTGGGGGTGACTAAGTGTCGCTGATAACAAGTTAAAGACTATTAACAATAATAACAGACCACCTCCGGGAGGATCCGCGGCGGAGGCTGAGTGAGGGATCCCCGCTGAGGCCAGCGGGGTCGCAGCGCTGGGTATCTCGGAGAGACGCTCAGAGGCATCAGTTTGTGGTGGTGGTGGATGATTTTTTTTGGGGGGGGGCGGGGTAGGGGCTGTGTATGCGGGAGAAAGAAGGGGTGGGAATCTGAGGAGGAGACTATATTTTTATTACTATTTAAAATTTTTTAAAATATTATTTTCGCCGTACAAAGAGGACGCTCGGAATTCACCGGCCTGTCGGCTCCCGAGAGGGACCCGGGAATTGTGCGGTCGCTTTTCTTCACCTGCTTTTATTTTTTTCTTTTTTTTTGTTTGCTTGGTTGGTTTGGCTATTTGTTTGTTTTGACTGGGGGCTTTTTATTTTTATTACTCTCCATATCTTTCCCCGCTGAGCAGCGGCGGCAGCAGCAGCAATATGGCTGGTGATGGGCTTTTTGGGGGGCGCTGGCGGCGGGAGGAGCTCTCGGAAGCCCCTGCGCGCCCGGCTCGCTGTTAGCTATGGCAAATGGCAGCGGCGGCGGCTCCTACCCGGGCGGCAGCGGCAGCGGCATTAGAATGAGTAACAATATCAACGCCAACAATCTCAACACAGACTCGTCCTCCTCCCCCGTCAATGTGCCCAAGATGGATGCGCTCATCATCCCGGTGACCATGGAGGTGCCCTGCGATAGCCGCGGACAGCGCATGTGGTGGGCTTTCCTCGCCTCATCCATGGTTACTTTCTTTGGGGGACTGTTTATCATCCTGCTCTGGAGGACCCTCAAGTACCTGTGGACTGTCTGCTGCCACTGCGGGGTCAAAAACAAGGTAACTCCCTCTTCCCTTCCCTTCCCCTCCTGCTGCCGGTGATGGTTTGGTGCGGTGGTGGTGAGGAGGAGTAGGAGCCCAGCCTTGCAGAGCGGGACACCTGGGCGAGGTGGCGGCGGGCTGCTGATGGCAATGTGCTGCCTGCTCTTGGCTTAGGGTTGCCACGGGCTACCGGCAGTGCACCGTGGGCAGTGTAGCTGGAGGGGCGAGGTGGTGCGTGCAGTGCCAGGCGCCTCCCCGTTCCCCCTTCTCTGTTCCACGCCACGCAGGGACCCATTCGTTTTCATGAAAGTTACACCTGGTGTGCGACGCTCACCCTGGCAGAGAGGCACATGCTGGTGTAGTGGGACGGTGCAGATCAGAAGTTTATGTGCACCCTTGGGGCCGCATATGATAGGGTGGGAGCTTGCATATCCTGATCTAAACTCTCAGTTGCCTTGTGGAATGAGAAACTTCGGCAAAATGGAGCGAGTAAATTTCTCGCTCAATTTCTCACTCACTAAAATGAATCTTTATAAAGCTAGTTTCACGCCCTGAGAATATTTGACGTTTCTGTTTGTTAAATGTTTCTATCTGGAAGTATTCTGTACATTTCTAAGTATTCTCTTAACCTAAGTGTGAAGTCTTTGAGGCAGCCTTTCTGCCACTTTGATTTTTGCATATTGCCAGCTGGAAGAAAGCATAGTATGTGAAGTAAGTTCAGTTTCTGCTTTGAAGGGTCTATTTTCAAACCAAAACGAAGAACTTGCTCAAGTCCACATTGTCATTTTTGATTACGAAAAATAAGATCGAAAGTGTTACCACTCTGTATTGTGAAAGTGGATTTTGACAGACCCCAGAATAGATCAGCAACTGGAGTTTCTCCCCTTCCCTTTTCACATTTTTTGAATTACAAATGGAATAATATCTGCTTCAGTTATTCCTGGCACACAGACACCCACAAAAACACACACACCTTTTAATATATGGTTGCTAGGTTGCTGGTTTGCTTTGACGTACAGTGAGCTGTCTTCCCCTTTCTCCTGTCCCCTCCCCCCTAAACACACAGCACATACACCAGTTCTGTGAAGGGCCCAGCATTTAGGGGAAACCAGCAACAAAGTCAGAGCATGAAAAGTTATGGTACTTGTTTGTTGTGTAGTTTGGGTTGCCTACATGAACCTCCACATTCCAGTTGGAAGTTAAACTCTTACAGTGAACTTGGCCTGTCTATGGAAGGAGCGATTGCTAAAGTTAAGGAAGAAAAGCTTTGACGTCAGCCTGAAGCATCAGGAATCCTATCAGGCAGTACTACTTTGCTATAGGCACATTTTTTTTTTCATTCAAAACCAAACCTGAACTTTCTTAGAGTGTTAGCCAGGTATGATGGCACAGCTCTAATGAATTTGTGGTAATAAGATAATATTTCCTACAGCAGTAAAAGGCAGTTTTCAAGGAAGGGCAAGTAGTGAAGACTTAAGCTTTGGTTTTGTTGTGTATTTAGCATTTATGCCTCCACAGACTCTAGACAGGCTCTCAGGGATCTTGATGAAAAATAATAATCTGCCTGTTATTACCTTGTGCTTCTTCCCTTGAGAGAGCAAAAAGTTAGAGGCTTGTACGCAGGATTCTTATGTGTGGTTTCTTGGTGGGTACTGTTGGTCAGGTAGTCCATTACTGGGACACAGCCAGTTAAAGCAGATCAGTCATTTCTTAATCAGTGTAGAAAGATACGTGCAAATTGTTTTTAAAACCTCTTGGGCTAAATGTGCCAATTTAGTAACAGGCTGTATTGAGGGGTTCAAACACTTCCAGTCTGAACAGTTTGATGTACTATGGCTATGGCAGGTTGTAAGATTTCAGTTTATTTCATCTTTGATACTGAAGTAGTTCCATGAATGTCATTCCCTGGGGCAGGAGGATAAAGGACTCTGCAGGTAGGGGGAGATGTATGTCTCCTTTTAGATCCTATTTGTTCCACTTTTAAGGATTTTCAAGACTGGCAAAGAAAAAGAACTTTCAAGTGCTGATCCTGCATTCCTTATATGATAAAATGAGGAATTGGAGGGAATTCTGTGTATGCAAGGATGTTAGTTATAACTAGTTATTGCAAAACACTTTTCTAGTATTTAGGGTATAAGGCCAACTGAAGTAACTGAAGTAACAAGTGGAATGATCTGAAACTTTGCTGTTACCAAGCACATGCTTTGCTGCTTGGTGAGTTGGGAAAAGCTGCCGAGGCTGCTGGAGAGAACTGTGAATGTGTATATGTGCTGTGCTGACTCTATTGGACCTGCTGCAAAAGCAATTTTAGAAGAAGTAGCTCCTCCTACTGCAGGATTGAAGAAGTTTTCTGCATGCTAGGAGCTCTCCGTTCCTCTGCTGCCTCGTCTGTTGCTCCACAGGTTGCAGGGGAGTTGGGCTGTCCAGCATCATCTCACTGTCTACACAAAGAGCAGTCCCAGTGAGAGAGCTAAAAGAAATCTTCTTCATGTCTACTTTCTGTGGCCTCTTGTTGAATAATTAAAATATACATGTGAATAATTCAGAGTTACTGTGCTAACACTCATGTCTGTATCTGTTATTGCAAAGAACTACAGAAAGTTCCATTTTTTTTCTCCCTGCTATATATACTAAGCATGACATTGTATTTCATGGATTTGTTGATGATGGTTTGGGATGTAAAACTTTTTAATGACTACATAGAAGGATTTAGAGTGTGTTTTTTTGGAGTGTCTCCCTCTTCAACTCACTTCATTTACAGCCAGAATTTAAAACCATTATATATATATATCTTATATATTCTTTGTGATATGAAATTTCATTAATTTTTTTCACTTGGAGATAAGAAAGTCAAGAATATGAAAACTGTCAACAGAATCATCAACCTTGTCCCTTAAAATTCCGTATCTAATTTATGTAATTTTATATGAATGGAACATTACTCTTAATCATGTACTAAAAATGATTATTGAAGTTATAGGATTTTCACACTCCATACTTGCTTTGTGAATTGGCATTTAAAAAAAAACCCTGCCCATAACAATGTAAATCTTTACCTTTGTTGTCAGTGTTTCATGTAGTGTGACAGTCATTACTATCAGAACCCTTGTATTCCTTTATTTAATATGGTATATAATTTTAGATGCAATTTTTCAAAATTAGCTACAGTCTACTTGCAACCAACCTTGAAAAATGCAGGTTTTCTTCTCAGTGTTTACATCTACGTTTTTAGTGATGCTTAGATACTGCTAAAGAACTTGTTTGGTCATTGCTTGTTTTTTCTCCCTTGACCAAATAATTTCTGTTTGTGTATGAAAAGTAGAATGTGAAATTAAACTTCATTGGGTTGGACTCTGACATTAGTAGTTCTTGTTTGTGGTAACAGCAGAAAAAATAAAATAAATATGCGTGGTAGTGTACAAATAGGGGCCAAATGTGTATTATACAATCTATAGTTACTTTGATTATATGGATCTGCCTCTATATTTTCTATGCTCCTGGAGGGCATTTTCTGCTGACAGTATCTGTTATGGCTTTGAACAAACTCTGAAACCATGAAGAAGGAGCAGTGGAATGAGAGAGCACAGGTTTGGGGCACAGTCAGCTCCAGTCAGCTTCACTCACTGCAGAATTAAATGGAATTAATTTCCTTTTGAAGAATATGATAGCAGAGCCTTTATTGCTGCTCCTTGGTTCCCTAGTGAAGGCTACCTCTTAAAGACCTTATGTCATCAGGTATAGCAGGTCGAATACATCCTTATTGTGATGCTTTCAGTGTTTTGGAAGAGCTTTTCCTCTCCACACCGCAGGACTTGTATACATATCAAATGAAATTATAATTATAGGTAGCAGTTGTTAGCCTGAATTTACAAGTCCTAATGGTCTTTTTTGACCTTAGGCTACATATTTTTCAAATGTAGTAAGTTACACAGTGCTTTTTACTCAGTAGAAACCAAGCAACATTGCCATTTCTTTCCAATAGGAAAAAAATCTGGTTTTGCTGGAAATACAATATTGGCAAAAGTCATCTTTGAAAAGTTAAGAATTTCAACCCAGCATTCTAAAGCCTGAGAAAATTTCTAAGAGGAAAAATTTAAGTTGTCTTTAAAACAAGCAATATTCATTCCAAGCTGGCTCTAGTGTGGGCAAGGCTTGCTGGTTTCTGGGCAATACCTGCATCAACGTCCTCTCCAAAAAAAAACAAAAGATTTGAGGCATGATCTCTTGAGAAAAGCTGAAGTGTACATTGGAAGACACGCGTGGACACATAATGCAGGAGATGCCTTCGTTTGAATCCGTGCGTGGAAGCATCACCTTGAGTCTTGAGGAGGAGCTGGGCAGCGGCGTGTGATGAGCAGCTGGGAGCTCGAGGGATTAGCGGGAGCTGTAGCGCGTTTGCCACTCGGTCACATGCAGAGCCTGGCTCACTCATTCCTGTCTCATGGCTGTCAGGTGCTCTGCGTGCAGCTACTCCGGGAGAGCCTCAGCAGCCAGGGTGCCAGTTGAGAGCTGGCCATGGTGGAGAGGTCAAGGTCTGAGGGAACAGGTACTCACAGCCCTTCACAGGTGGCATTTCTACAGGCGGAGAGAGGCGCTGCTGTGGAGTGTGTGCTGCTGGTTTCCATGCTCTGAAAAGGAAGATAATTCTGGCTCTCTGGGGCTTAGAAAGGATTTCATCTTTTATAAACACGTGCAATATAGGTTTCTGCATGCAGAAAAGAAAATGCATAGACAAGGATTTAACCTGTAAACCAAACGTTCTCAACCAAAATGTTATTTTGGTACAGTATCATACTTATTTTCAAGGCATTGCAACACATACATTTAAGGAGAACATCTGCATGTAAAAAGAACTTAAAAGTCTCGCATTTGCAAATATGTAAGGGAGGTTGAAAACCATTAGATTTCACTTTTTCTTCCAGTTTAGCTCAATAGAAGAGATGTCTGTAATAGCAAACAAAAAGCTTTTAAGTAACACTGAGCCGTGTACTCAGTTTTGATGCACTGGGATTTCTGGA